CTGCTTCTAGTTTTCATAGTTAGTTATTTCGCATTTTCTTTGCAATTGATTACACACCTATGAAGGGGTACAAGTCTGCTGGAATGATTCTTTAACCCTACAATTCCCCAAAGTCCATCAATTGCTCTGTTAATATTAAGTGGGGTCAGGGAACCAGACTACAAGAACATGATTGGTCATCTTGGTTTTTCCAGCACCTACAAGCCCAAAACGTGAAACAAGTCAGTTTAACAATATTTGTTATAACATTCTAATCCTCCAAATCCATTTATTTCTGAAAACTGCAGCAAAAGCAAATGTTGTACATTCCCTTTAACACAGTCTATTGTGACCCCCCCCCAAAAAAAATTGCACAATGAAGGCTTTACTGAACAGTAAATTCTGTGTATATGTGCCCCCAAAGCCCACAAAAGACTGCCTAGCCCAAACCCATAATAAAGTACATGTAGGAACACATCTGTCAAAACGTTGTCCAGTTTTTAAAAAAAATGGTACTTTGCACGATATTCCCAGCCTACTTTAAACATTTTACAGCTCTTTTACATGTAACTTCCACACTTTTTAAACACTTTCCTAATTTAGCCCCCTCAAACAATTGTCTAGACCTCCAAACCGTTCAGCTACACTTTTCCTAAAGAAAAAAAGGTGCCTTATTCTGGACAGTTGCAAGCAGTTGTTTCCCCCTCTCCATGTAAGTATATCTTGACCTTTATTGTCACGAAGCTAATTCCTTAACATGATTTGCATTGTTGTGGAACTTCCCAAACTATCAATTCAAAACATGCTGTTTTCATGCTTAAGCCCGGTTCACTCTTCACTCGAATGCAAATACGAAGCAACTTTGACGTCACAAAAAAAAACATTCACTGCAAAATTCACTGGTTCAACTTTTGGAAATTAGTGGCGCGATGCGATGCTATGCTTAATCTGTGCGAAGACTTGCCCTGACATACAAATTCGCGTGTGTGTTCACTTTCGAGCTGAGTATGAACCAGGCTTAAAGGGAATGTACTTGTACATCATTGGTTTTTGCTGTAATTTTCAGAAATGAACTATATGAGGGGTTAGTATAATACTAGATAAAATATTGTTACACTGACATGTTTGAAGTTTTGGGTTCGAAAATGCTGGAAAAACCAAGAAAAACAAAAAATGTCCAAGTAGTCTGGTTCCCTGACTCCACTAAAGATAAAATGGATCAATTTACAGATGCCGGAAAATTGTTAGGTAAGAGTACCAGTCTAGATGACCTGCACCCGTTCATGAACATGTAACCAATAGCAAACAAAATTTGGACTGAAAAAAAAATAGTAAATTTGGAGCAGTAGTTGAAAAATAGTTAGGTTTTTCCAACGGTGGTCGGAAAATGTATACAGAAATACCATTTTTATTTGAAAATGACTTCACACCAGGTGCCATAATTTTACAGGATGCTTTGGACTGTCATTTACCAACATCCTAGTAAGGTATTTCGTAAAAACTTGGTAGTTTTGTTTTCTGATGTTTGCAAATGTTGTATATTCCCTTTTTAACCTGTGCGAAGACTTGCCTTGACGTACAAATGCGCGTGCGTGTTCACTTTCGCGCTGAGTATGAGCCAGGGTAAAGACATCATATTCCATGTTTCGTACTGCAGGCATTTACATGTAGATCTTTCCAAAAGGGCCCCCCCCCCCCAAAAAAAAATCTTACTAATTGCCCACTTGTGTGGTGCTTGCTACGTTTGTCATCATTCGATTGCATAAATCCCAACAAAATCTCAGAAAGACTAACCACAAGCCTTCCAGTTGGCACAGGAATGACAGAAACGTTGACAGGAAACGTCCCACTCAATACTCAATCCCTTCACTAGATTGAGTGGGACGCGGGTGGGAGGGTATGACTTTCATTATCATACAATTGACTTGCCACCACTAACGGAAATACAAAGAGAATTTTAAGAGCTTTTGTTGACAAAAAGTATTTTTGTAATTTTGATAATAAATCTTGCTGTTTCGAAATCGTGTCATCGTGAAAAGGGCTGGTTAGTTTTGAAAAATGTAGTATTTGATTACCCAAAACCTGGACTTGATCGAACATTTGAAAAAAGTCAATAGTCGTGAACCTTAACCAGACTTCAACTTTTGTGAACGTGAGTTCCAGACATATTCTGCACGTGCGTGGTACCTGGTACACAAAGAAAGGACATTTGTCAGCACTTACAAAAATTATGTGATGGAATGTTTCATACGAATCAATGTAAAGAATCCACCACTACGGATTACGGCAAGCACAAAGAGAAAGACTAGTAGTGGAAAGTGTCTGTAACATAGTTCCAGTGAAGAGGAAATAGATTTTGAAGAGTTTGCAGGGTCGGATCCAGGAATATTTGCAGGAGGCGGGTTTATAAGCAAACAAAATGCTGAAATTTAGACAGGTTTTTTTCTCCCGACACTTGGCCTCCGTAAAATCAATAGGTGGGTGGATGGGTGGGTGGGTGGGTGGGTGGATGGGTGGGTGGGTGGGTGGGGGCTTAATTGTACCATACTTTCAGTAGGGGGCTGTTCGAATCCGACGATCATCAACACTGTATTTCACAACAGTGTAGAAATGCATGTACCCACGTAACACAGCTTGATCTGACTGAATTCTGTTTACAGGCGAATATAATAACCACTAATTGTCATAATTGTTTTGGGGTGTCAGAGTAGGGGAAGGGGGTTCCCACATTTTTAAAATTGTTTCCTTCCAGGTGAAAACTAGATAAATGAAATGAACATTTGACCCCAGATTCCTAAAAAAAACACACTGTTTTTCAAAGGCTTCCTTAATGCCATTTGACCTTAGACCTTCTTGTTCCTTGACCTCTGACCTTTGACCTCTTGAAATTTGACCTAACATAATTAGCCACTTCAAATCCACAAGTGCATTGAACTCTCCAGTGGCATTTTCTTACACTAATCATATAAAATTTTCTAAAGAAATCTTGTTTCACAGAGATTTATATTCACATGTACATGTAAGGCAAAAAAAAAATAGTCGGTCTCTGGTCAGACCAAAGTTCCGGAATTGATGAGGCGAAGTGGTTTTGTTTTTGTTTTTTTGGTGGCTTTTTTTTTTTTTCAAGCTTTTATTGTATAGACAAGGTGGGTACTATTTTGCTTTTTTGTGTCCTCATTATACATTGGTGTCCTCCATAATTTGCCTTGATGCCCTTTATCATTTGCCTTGGTGCAATTTCCCCATTCCTTGGTGCTCCTTGGTACAAAAATTGTTGTAGCTTCCGTGTTAATTTGAAGAAAAAAAAGGTTGACGCGCATGATTAAAATAGTCGCGCGCGCTGATCAGAGACCGAATATTTTTTTTTTGGCCTAACAAAATATAGGTGCTGACCAAAGTTACCCTACTGACCCAACATACCCCATCTTACGGTATTTCATGTCAGCTGGTAGACGATTCCATTCCGGTATGGTGTATAGGTAGAGTGAGAACTTGTAGCAATCTTTGTTAACTGTAATTCTTTTTAAGTTGTTTAGATGATTACTGTTTGCACCTTACCTCCCCCTACCCCAGTAACCCCACCCCCTCCATCCACCCCCTTCCCCTCCCAGGCACATGTACATGCACTTATGGTTGCAGACCAGTAAATCGGTCCGAAATTGCCTACGCTGGCCAAATCACGATTTGCATGCCCTCAAAATCTTCAGTATTTGCGCATGAACCATGAACAGGAGGGTTTGTAAACAATATGGGTGGAAGCCGTGCACAGGACTGTGAGCTTGTACTTTCCGTTCAATTTGGATGAAATTGGGGCCCTAAAAGCGCTCTATTTTGCAATGGAGTGTAGGCATCGTTTTTTAAAATGGCGATGGGCTTTAGGACTATTTTAAGGGGTGATCATCTTCGGATGGACATTTCTCCTAAAAGTCATCAGTTGACCCCCCGTAAATTGAAAAGAAAATGAAAGATGATGAAATAAGCTTTAATTTGATGTGTGTCTCGAACACCTTGGAGAGTTGTGAGTATTTTTCCTGAATTTCTGAAGTGGGAGCATTTATCATTGGGGTCAATGGAAGTTTATTTACTGGTCTGGAACCTTATGGCCGAAGGGTTCATGTTCACACGTACGTACGTATCCACAGATGCAGATTTCATTCAAGTAATTTTCTAATGGCGTTTATGTGTTGCGGCCTAAGCCCCTTGCATGAATAAACAATGGGGGAGGATTGTGGATAGCTGACTTAATATAAGCATTTTTTTTTGGGCCTGCACATAAACAATTTCGTTAGGTTAGAAGTAGATTAACTCCAGACAAGCAGTCTCCGCGCAATGATTGCCCCGGACTCCGAATTACATGAGCAACGGATCAATGATATATTAATTAAATGCAGTTCGTGCAAGACGATAGTGGGAAAAAATTTAAAGGGGCAGAAACAATTTAGAAATTGTACACTTTGCAATGGAAGCTGATATAACCCCCCCCCCCTTTTTAATCGTCTTTGCCCCGCCTATAAAAAGGAAACCATTAGACTAGAGTCGAATGGATACATTATTGTATTAAAAAAAAAAATTAATAATAATAATAGTAACAGAGATGCCAACTTTGCAGACTACAAAATAGTAATGATTCTTCCTGCAAAGAGTAATGCTAATGTAAATACATAGGACAACAGTCAAGTTTAAGAGTAACCACAGTACTTTTCAGAGTAACCACAATGTTGGCGTATAGGACAGCTGGAATTTTCAAGAGTAGTAACATGCCTCAAAATCCTAATAATTACTCCAAAAGAGTAATGGTTGGCATCTCTGACAGTAATAAATTCAACGGAGAAACGGATGAGTAAAAGTAGCCAAAAATGAAAGGCAGGAATTATGGAAAAAGTCAATAGGTGATACAAATGAATACATTGGACAACAACAACAAAGATGTACCACAGAAACAATACAAATAAATATAACACAGTATGTAAATTACAATGCAGTTCTCACATATTATGGAAATTACAGTGTAATTCTCTCACCCGTGTTTATCAGCCTTTTTCTCTGCTTCTTTTTCCCGCCATTTCCTCAGTTTTCTACGTACGCCCGACATTTTCCGATTCAAGCCGAACAACTCATCCAACGACGACACAAAACTTTGCAGTCACCCTAGCTCACTTGATACTGCATGGGCTAGTTCACATGCAAATGCTGCAAATCTCGCTATACACACAAATATAAAGACGGCACCCTCAAGTATCACTTTTGTAGAGTCTTCTCTGGCCATGAACAGTCATCCCAAGTTTTGCCGGGGTATTTCACAGAGCTGGAAAAGTTCCAAATCGTGTCCACGCACCCATCCTGAACTCAAAGTCAATCAGGGATTTTGACAAGCCTGGCTGCATGTCCCGAAACTTTACAACAAGTGCTCACCATGCCTGTTGGCGGATTGCACAGTGCTTGAATACTTTGGTGACTTCTGCGTGCCAGTCACCATATCCTGTTAGTATGTTGCTAAACCCTGTGTTTGAGTCGGGAGTTCAACACTGTCAAAACAATTCCAAAGAAATTTGGACATGCTCTGCTACACAGACGCCCACTCACTTTATTCCTACCACTCTTTGGGCTTTGAGGCCAAAGAAATTCCTGCGGACACCAGACAGTTCACTCTCAGGATACACACGTTGACTCCATAACACCATGATCTGAATGAACGTGATGCAACATTCATATGGCTCAGATCCAAATGACAAATTATGTTCCGCCTTTAGCCAGGAAGTTTATCTAGTTATTTTTAGTGAGAAGGGTTTTGGGACCGCCAGCATATTCTCCGGTGTATTTTATCATTTCCACGGAAAGTTTTGCAGATTTGAGGGGGCCGATGATGGAAGCGATCACTCTTAAAAACTTTTGACAATTTTTAACTTTCAAGCTTCAAGTCCCATTAATCATTGCATAAATGCTAAATCTCAAACTTCTTTTTAATGTTGAGTGTCATTTTTTTATTTATAGGAATCTGACCTTCAGCGCTTATAGGATGTTATAGAGAGCTCAGGATATGCCAGATGGGAAACAGACTGAATCCATGGACCATACCAGATTGTACCACTGCGAAAAGGGCACACAAGTACAATGCATTTCGCATCAAAACTCTGGATCCATTTGTCACTCTTATGTATGCAGACCCGTGCACAGTGATGAGTTCCGCTCACACATTAAAAAAAAAATTCCAAAAACAAGATTTCTACTTATGATGACCCACCTCCCACCCCCTAAAAATCTTGCCTTCAAGTTGTAAACACAAGTAAGTTTGATTCAAAAATTTAGGGGAAAGTGGCCCGAAAATGCCTCAGATTGCACCACAGAGCATCTAGAATCCACAAATTTCCGGGACCCGCTCCAGCATAAAGGCTTCATGCTCCACGCTTACTATATATAAAGTTCCACTTTGGCATTTGAAGACCCCCTCCTCCCCCAGTCTGGGATCAGGGACCCCCCCCCCAAGTCTGGGATCAGGGAACGGGCCTGAAATGTCAACACACACAAAAATCCTTCTGAGTAAATTTGAGAACAGAAAAGGTTACTTCGTGACTGAGTTGGAAAGTTACTCAAGTAGACTCGCTCGTTCAAGTAGATGTGGATTTTTCAGGGAAGTACCGAATCCTGGACAGTACATGTACCCCACAAAAAGCACTTTGATCGCTCTTGGCATGGGTCCAAAACCTGGTTCAAAGTACAAATCTTCGCATTCTGTACTTGCTCTTTCGCAATGTGTTCGAGTCAAAACGATCACAACAAACAATGAAACTGTACCACTGTTGACATTGGTTCTGACAGAATTTTGGTTTCATATTTTACATGTTAGACCATGGAGGAAACTTATTCCTCCATGGTTAAACAAATATATCTCTCTTTTTCTTTATAAGTTTCTTAAAATACATCTTGCAGGACTTAAAGATATAGTCCATCATTTGTAATTTGTGCATTTTGTTCGTTTGAAGCAACAATAGTGCTCAAAATCTAAAGAAGGGTGCTGAACAACTAACCTGAGGAAGTTTCAGCTCAGCTTCAGCTGTATATTCCGAGAAAAACAGCATTCTAGGATCTCAATTTCAAATCAAAAGTTGCTGAATCATGTTTTGAATCGGGCCTGAATTCAGCGTCCGAGACACATTCTCACTGAGCCGATTGCAGCTACGCTATGTCGCGCACCATCCGACGAATTCATAGATATAGAATACAAAGATAGCAACCGTGCGCGTGTGCGTTGTGTCAATGCTTGCACGTGCTTCGCCCAATAAAAAAAACCGAACTACTAATGGAAATTTCCAACGGTGCGTCTTAAGACGCACCATTGAAAAGGCCTTCTTTCGTTGATTACTTCAAAATGACAGCTTGCCAGAAGGAATAATTTCACAGGGAGTTTAGTCCCCTTACTATCTTTCAACCAAGTATGCTTTTCAACAATAATTACGCCAGTTACTTTTCGGATAGCTGCAAATGATGGAATAGCTTTAATGGTAATGTACAACATTTGCTTTTGTGTAATTTTCAGAAATTGATTCATTTTGGGGTTGGCATTTTATAGCAAACATTGTTACACTGACTAGTTTGAAGTTTTGTGTTTGCAGATGCTGAAAAAAACCTAGAAAAACAATCATGTTCCTGTAGTCTGGTTCCCTGACCCCACTTAAGATAAAACAGAGTAATTTATAGACGTCAGGGAATTGTAAGGTCAGGGAACCAGTCTAGCTGGCTTGTACCTGTCCATGGGTGTGTAACTGAATGCAAATAAAATACCAACTAACTAAATATGGTAAATCGGGGGCAGTATTTGAAAAAAGCAAGTTTTTTCCAATGCTGGTCAGCTGACCAGCGTTGGAAATTGATACAAAAATACCACTTTTCTTGAAAAAGACAGCATACCAGGTGCCATGATTTTACAGGATGCCTTAGACCGTCAGTCACTAACAGTCCACTATGGTATTTCATAATTATTTGGTAGTGTTGTTTTTGATGTTTGCAAATGTTGTATATATTCCCTTTAAGAAGTGAGAGCTCCGCCATTTTAAATTTAATGGTTCTTTTGTTTCTCTTTAAAGTTTAACTAAAGTTGAAATAATGTGCTGGTTTTTTTTTTTTATAATTAAGAATGTTGTATATATAGGGACTCTGATTTAAAAAAGAAAAAGAAAAAAAGAGAGAACAGTTGGATAGACCACGTTTTTAAACCCCAACTTCTTAAAGGGAAAATACAACATTTGCAAACATCAAAAATAAAACTACCAAATCATTTTGAAATACCTTGCTGGACTGTTAGTGAATGACAGTGTAAAGCATCCTGTAAAATCATGGCACCTGGTATACTGTCATTTTCAAGAAAAGTGCTATTTTTGTATCAATTTCCAACGCTGATCGGCCGATCAGCGTTGGAAAAAACTGGCTTTTTTTCAAATACTGGCCCCAATTGACCATCGCACTTGTTTGCAATCGATTACACACCTATGAACGGGTACAAGCCAGCTAGACTGGTTCCCTGACCTTACAATTCCCCAATGTATGTAAAACTGCTCTGTTTCTTCTTATATGGAGTCAGGGAACCAGACTACAGGAAAATGATTGTTTTCTTGGTTTTTATAGCATTTTCGAACCCAAAACCTCAAAAAAGTCAGTGTAACTATATTTGCTATATATTTCCACCCCCCAATTCCATCCATTTCTGAAAATTACAGCAAAAGCAAATGATGTATATTCCCTTTAAATCCAGCTTTCTCAAACCACTTCCATGGATCAAAGCTCTTTGGCAGGAAGAATAGAACCACTTCTATTTTCAGGTACGGCACTATCAAGAAAAGAAAGAAACATGTAAATGTCACTACAGGGTCCTCACACTTGTAGCAGCAAACATCACTGACCAACAGTCGTTTTAAATTTCCTGGGATATAAGCTCGCTGAAAAGTTGATACCGAGTGAGTGAGAAGACATCCTTTCACAGATAAGCTATTTTGAGAGACTCATTGTGCGGGACTCTATCAAGGGACGCACATCTGCATTAAAGCGACTCTTCAATATATCCCTTTTCAACAAAAAGATTGACTTGGGAAATTCAGCTTGTCTGCTCCCACGAGGCCAATCTTTTAAAGCAAGTTTTGCTTTCAATATTTGCCTACCGGTACACCTTGCAACCAAGCTCACTAATTATAAAAACCTTTCATAACTATATGTAAGATTTTTTTATTATTCTAAAGGTATTGTATGGCTAGCAGCAGGCTACTGTCCAGCTGACAAACAAGTTTTTTTTTATTTTATGTTTTTCAAAATTAATTTGAAGAGCTCAACGGGTACCAGCATTATTCAATGCTGGGAAGGCAACAGACTCGCTGTGGAGGAGGTGAGGTGATCCCCCCACAGCAGCATTTCAAAAACTCAAGTCTGGTCCAATTGCTTCGAAAGAGAGTTGGGACTCCATTCCTGTGAACACAGGTTCATCTCCCTTTACCTTTCTTTACTTTATTTCCAAAACGCGATATACACCATTTTGTTCCCTTTTAGAATCCAGCTCTCTTCTGGCTGCCCAAAAGCAATTTCGACGGCTGTTATATACTTTAATGCTACTTAAGAATACAATAAAGCAAAAAATGAAATTTAGAAACACCTGTTATACTGTGTTTATTCTTTTAAGTTTTAGAACCGTGCAAACTTTTCAACTTTTTCAAATGGATATGTCGCGTTTTAGAAATAAATTTTTCATATGTTACCCGGTAATATCAGTTACAAGCATGCCTAATTTCGATTCAGTTTTAAGCCGATCTTTTGCTATTCTGACAGCACTAAAAATTGTTATTCTTTTAGGTTTAGCAGGAGGTTTTATGAGTAATTTAATCTTTGTTGGGTTTAATCCAGCTTCTGTTACCAAAAAAAAAAGAAAATTACATGCAACTCATAGGAGATAACACTATCTATAAAGTAACAAAATTATTAATTTGAAGGATTGATTGAAAAAAACATGAGTATAAATGCCTTATTGTTGATTTCAATTTAAAGTTTGGATAGGTATCAAGTTTGAAAATGTGTTTTTGGAGAAACAAACCTTTAAAAAGTAAGGAATAAAATCACAAAACCCTGACATATCGAAGGAAACTCTTGACCTAATTATTCAGAGAAGAACAATCTGAAACGTTTCGATAAAATATTTATACATGTAACTCTGAAAAAATTCTAGCTTTGTTTCAGTTTCCATTCCTGACTTTTTTCTCTCAAATCGTTCCTGCATAGCTTGTACAAACATTGCTAGTCACCCATCCCACACATTGCAATTCAATAGGCAGGTATTACATCAGCACTGAATGCATTCAGCACAGAAACCTAGCCACATTAAAGAGCGCCCTCTTGTGATTCCAAACTGTTTTTTTTTTTTTTTTTTTTTTTACAAATTAGCAACATTTAACTTAACACCAAACACAAAACCGTCACCTTCCATGAAGAATTTTTAAGCTCTGGCAGAAGCTTCTACACATGTCACTTGGTGGTCGGTCGGTCGGTCTGTCTGTCTGTCCCGAAAATTGACCAAAAGTATGGTGTTCCATATGTGCCATCGGCGTTGCATTTTTCGGCGTTGCATTTTTCGGCTCTGGCAGGGATCATTTTGATCGATTTCATGCAAGACTTTCATGCAAGACTTCTTGCAACACGGCCAGAGCTTATTGTGTACTCCCACCTGTTTTTTTCTGCTGCATAACTGAATGAGGGCTTCACTACTTTGGGGATGGTAAAATAAGTTGTTTTTTAAAATGCTTTATTTTGCAGTAAATAAAGTGAAGTTCCTCAGAATGGGAATTAGAGCAAGCCAAATAAATGAGGCGCCTGTGTCCACAGGCAAGATATTTTACCACAACTGTGCACGCCTATAGACAAACCCGGCGGCAGCCATTTTCTGATGTGGCACCAGGCTCGTGAGAGTCGCGCTCAGGTGGTACACACGCACTCCGGGCTCCTTCCACCAATAGGAATACCCAAATATGCATGCGCCTTGTCTTTAAGAACGCGTGCAGC